CAACGCGTTTGCGCCGAGGTCACCAAAACTGTGTTGTGTACACTACGTAGGACATTCCATAAACGTTAAACATTTGTGGAGAGATTGATGGCTTGAACTTGGTGAACGCTCTTCATAAGAGGCCAAATTGCTACCTGACTCTTCTCGGTCTGTACTCGGCCTGATTCGGGCAGCTAAGGTCCTCATGGGCGATTAATCCCAGGTCGCCTCCCTGCATAGCTTGTTGCAGCCACTTCTTTCCCAGGCGATTTTCGTGAGTCCACTGATGGCGTATAATAAGAACGTTGCATTTCGTCAACCCTAATTGGAGTCAATTTTCGGACAACCAAGTATAGGCTTTGTCGAGTTCTCTCTGTAGTGTCGTACTGTCATCCGCCGTTTTGATGTCATGTCGGCTCCTGACATCTGCAAATTTCAATAAGTGACACTGGAGCTCACTAGCAAGCTCATTGATAAATACTAAGACTGAACTTGGCCCCAATGCCGGTCCTTGGGGTGCACCACAATGGAATTAAATTAAGTCATGGATGGATCTCTGCGCATTCACATTCAGCTGACGTTGAATGAGGAAGTCGTTTATCCAACATAGCACTGGGTTACAGATTCCATAGCTTTATACTTTGTGAAGAGGAGGGCTTTAGAGTAGTCAAAGTACACTACGGCAGCATCTTGTCTGGCATCGACTGATGTCATCTGACTTACTCAGTCAAGTAACAAGTTTGTGTTGCAGTTGCGATTTCGGAGGATTCCATACTGCAGTGACTTAGGTGGTTGCCCTCAATGTATCCCATGAGCGCGTTAAGGATTATACCTTTCATCACTAGATAAAACTGGGAGGAGAGTGGTTTCACGGTAGCTTGAAGGCTCCTCACTACTGCAACTCTTGAAAAAAGGAGAAAACACTCGCCATTTCCACATGGTCGGAGACTGGATTTCATCAAATGTTTGTTGAAAATACCGGGCTAACGGTTCAGCAAATTTCTTGGTGACTGTTCTGATTCCTCCTGTTCTATGCCTTCCACACCAGCAGAGCTGTGCACGCCAAGGATAGTAGTCTTTACATCACATTTGCAGCGGTGAAGGATACGTGGCTTATTACTGGGGGCGGAGTGAGCTGTGTCAAAAAGGGATAAGGTGGCGATTCACTTTAGAAAGTGGGAATGCATTGTTGTCAAAGTGCTTTGGCCGCATCTCTCGTTCTGTGCACCAGACTATCAACTGCACCAGGAACTGGGATTCCGCACTACAATCTCTGAAGCTTGTTTACGTGTCCGTAGAACATCTAATAATTAGTACTAAATTTTGTCGCTAAATGCTGTTGCAGTTTACGCTTGTGATTGTGGACAAATTTGACGCAATGTTTTCGCTAATTTATGTATACGTCCCGGGACTGCGCAGTTGGACATGTTTTCTAAGTGCGCCAGGCCAAATCCCTTGAGGCCATGTATTTTCATGACCAGCTGCTCAGGAACGAGTTTGTTTGCCTTGCACGAAAGATATTGGATTCAGGAGCATTTTCTACTAACCTTGTGAAGGGGATTACAAATTCCTTCCGGACGACGTCTCTCTAGCCAGGAGAGATCAGTTGGTTAATTAAATGAGGTTAAAGAGTCTACAGTAATGGGTAGCGGTGTGAACTTCCTCGCTGTGTACACGGATGTACTCCGCGTAGCAGGTGTAGCGAGAGTGCAGTGTCGCATGCTCCCTACGGCCAAGAAGCGTACTTATATTAACAGTATAAATTATCAGTTTCTTTTGATGAACACAAGGTGTGAGATAGATGGATCGTCACCAGTTCTGAATCTCGGAGAAGCGGCGACGTCTTCTTATAGTCAATGTCAGCTAGTTCACCTTGCAAATCTTCCTTAAATTGTTCACTGAGGGAAGATGGAACTTGATTTCGTGTAGGCTGAAAACCCAACAAAAGCAAGTGACCTTATAACTGTCAAGGTGCAACTCGTTGCTGAGGCCAGGCAATGCCCCTTTTCAAAGGTTGAACTTGGTAAGCGTTAAATCAATGCAAGTAAACATAAATCACCAGGGAATAGACACTGCGGATCTGGATCGTCGATGATATCGACATGCAGATCAAATCGAGAAGACAAGATTACTGTACCTTCTCTGCTTGGCGGATCGTTTCAGACGAGTGTCATACCGGGAAAAGCTATTTCGGCATAGGATAGCTCAGGTTTCAGCTATGTTTCAGGTATCATGACTTTGTCCCAAGAAATGGAATCCAGGTGAGTAGGAATCTCGGTTACCTTATATAAATGACCATGAGTTATGCCACACATGCAGGTGAAGGACTCAGAAGCTAGCAATATATTTGTAAATTTGATCTCGGTGTGGGTGGTTTTGTCGACTAATATGAGGTTTGCTGTCTTAGTTCTTTGTTGAAAAATGTTCTGCTAGCTCTGCGGAAAATCCAGGTTAGCGAGAATTCGCAGCATCGGTAGATGGCTGCAAACATAGTCATACCTCAGCTGAAATGCCTTGAAATCATTGTGGTTTTGAGCGTCAAGTTGACGGGGCTGCATATATGAGTTACAGGTTCAGAATTATCTTGTTGACTTATGGCTGGACGCCCGTTGATTTTATACGTACTTCGGACGACAGCTTCTTGCCCAAATTGCGCCATGTTTCCATAACCTTTTCCATCATTGGTTTGGCTCAACTTCTAACAATTGTGGGCCGCTTCCTCTGTAATTAGGCGATGATGATAGTCATGATCTAAAATTGGATAACAGTTTCCAGTGCGTGTACCGCGGATAAAGCTCCAGTTATCCCACTATTTTGCTTGAGCCAATAAGTCGCTTGGAGTTTAAAGATTGGAGACCCCGTTGAAACGGAGCAATGTTACTTATTGTTTTTTACGGTGGTTGTCCGAGTATATTTTGCGTTCCTGGCTTTTGCTCCATGGAACATCTGGAAGAATGCAATTAGTTCATTGGCTTGTTTGGAGGCGAGTGCCTGATAAGAGAACAGTCTCTAGATATTTTCCTGATGGACGCATAACTCGGAGCAGTCTTGGGTTACCGTAGTTTGTAGCCATTGGAAGGCAGAGGAGGCGCATCCTACTGGGCGGCTATGCTTGAATTCCAGTTGACTGACAGATGGCGTCCCAATGTATCTGATCGTCTAGCGGTTTGCCGCTGCTTGTGCTCGTTTTAGGTCCAGACATACAGGATCACAGTAAGCGAATTATGATGCTGACTAGTAATATACTTTATAGATAAGTGTGTGGCTGCTTGTTTTGTTCTGATAACGGGTGGCTCGCCGGATCCCTTGTTGGCATTGGTAAACATATTACTCCTAGTTTGACAGCGATCGACGGTACGGTAGATGGTACCTATTTCAAGTGGGTGGCAACAATAAACGCGCATGCTGTTGCCCTCTAAATATGTTGTATGTACCGCAGTGTTTTGATGTTGTATCTTGTCCGAGGGGATCATTAGAATCGGTCCTCGGAACCGTAGCATGTTAGCGTGGTCGAGGTGCATAACATTTGAGTATTATTCTCACTTGAAGCTTGACTGCTCTGTTCTGAATTGAAGTTTGATGTTGTACATCCACCACGGGGCTATGGTTGCTCTAAATCCAACGGGGCTAATCTAGCGGCAGTTATTCCTTCTACAACCTCAGTCAGTCTCTTGCACGGTTGCACTGGCATTACTGTACATCTGACGATTGAAAGAGACATCCAGTTTGTGTAGAACCAAACAGAAGCAGTCGTGGTACTTTGTTATTTTACTTGGCTTAGGCAAAGTGGATAGCATGCAGGATTGAAAACTTTACATCCGTTAGTGCATTCTCCTCCAGATCGTATATTTTAAAGCAGTCTCCTCAATATGCATATAATTTAAACGCTTTAGGCTTAGCTCTCATTGGGCTGGCATTGTGCGCCATTTTCGTCGTCAATTCAGTTCCTAACTTTACATGTCGATTGCCGCGAGGTCTGTTTGAACAGTCCGATAAAAAAGATTAGACCTAACGACGTGTTATCGAATATACAAAATAACGTTACCCTTTCCCGTGCACTTTCTAAAAAGAAATTCACAAGCTCCCAAAATATAGAGGTTTTAATACGTTTGCTTTTTCCCTGTCGACTAAGTAAGTGTTGGATATAATTTCCTCCAAGCCAGATATACTTACTAATGACCAGAAAATAATAAAAGCAGATGAATTGCACACAGAACTAAGTAAGATAAAATGAACTGTTTTACAAAGAACTATTTGACAAAGCGACGAAACTCAATTTTGCAAACAAAGTATCCAGTAATATTTGAGCATTACTATGTTCACAGTTTATATATTAGAACATAAGGTATAACTTTCTCATTTGGAATTGCTCTCCTTTATTGACAGTTAAAACCAACTGATATCCGCAGATTGAATATCACTGGTGAGATAGGTGTTTAGTTATTGCTGTCCTAACAGTTTTTCTAAGATTTTAGTGACAGACGAAGCACAGCGTTTCCATTGACATTGCATCAAAACTTTGATTATATTTAAAACGTAAGCGGAACAGACACCTATACATTGTAAAGAAACTGGTCAACTTGGCCTCCTGCAAGTGATGCTTGTTTTGTGCAGTATTTGATGCGCAACACTTGATGTATGCATTTGGTTGAAAAAGGAAATAATACTTGTTAACAAAAGGTGGGCGTATGCACTTTCCCCGCGGTTACAAAAATGTTCCTGAAAACTAGCACAACTTAGTATATCCAAAACGAAAGCTTTTATTCCTTAACCTTTAAAATTTGAGCGAAATAAATCTTATTATCCATCGCTGTCTTCGCATAATTTGGCTATTTATAGCAAACATTATTTTCTGGTATGTTTGAAGATGCTTTCTATCCAAAACCTCCCATATACCTCGTGCCTTCGTGCAATAGAAAAGCAAAAATTTCAACGTTTGCTTAGGTTATACGGAGTAATTAACCAGTAGAATTCGTCCAGAATGTGATATGTATGATGTACATAATTTTGAACTGTCTCACCAAGGGATATTTGTGGCATATTTTGCCTCCCGTTGACAATCTTGATCCAAATCCATAAGCAGGAAACAATTGGTCGCTGTTGTATAACGGATAATAATACATGAATTGCACATACTCGTCAGTTATTGCCCTTGAAATACAACATGTTATACAAACCTAAAATGCGGTAATACATTTGCAACAGTAGCAAATATTTGCAACATTGCATTTTCAATATTAATTACCTGTGTAATGTAATAAAATAATTATTACAGACGCCTGCGACTAGCTTTCATTGTTCTGTTCTTGGTGTACCCTGTAATCGATCATCCATAGTGTCCAAAAGAACTACCAGGTAATCTATAAGTTTGCGATGTTTGACTACATTGCTTTTTCCCTAACCTTGGGTATACATACAAATACATAGTTGAGATATGATTCCCGATGAAGATGTCATAAACAAATGCAATGAACACAATTTCTTTGGATGGATCGTCATCAGGTTATTGCAACCACAGTTAAGCAGACACAAAAAGACACATGTGGTGTAAACGCAGTAAATCAATGAATCTGAGTGTCTAATCGATAGGCTACGCTATTGTTCTGCCTAATGTGAGGCGAGTGGAGTGGCGTAATCGCCGCTTTTTGTCGTGCCGGACTGTTAGATCAGCTGATCTAAATGTGATTTATACGAGCCAAGCTTTAGTTCTGCCGAGGTTCAAAGACAAAGTGGCTGATCGTGTCCAGTCAGTGATAATTTATCGGTTTATCTCTCCGTGTGGTTCGCGGTATATTGGATGAACTACCAGACACTTAAGTAAGTGAATCAAAGAACATCTCCCGAATCGGGTCATCAACCAGGCAAATAGAACCAGCTGCAGTGCAATAACAAACCATCTGATAGACACCGCACACCTGGTTGACAAAGAAACTGCTTTTGACATCGTGTATAAAGTACCATTACACCCAAACCACAGAATAAGGAATCGTCTGCTTGCTACCGCCGAGGCGGTATGCATAAGATTGATGAATCCAGACACATGTGTACAAAAGATGGTTCAATCGCTACAATTGCCTCGGCCGGTCACATACGAGAGGAGATGATTATATACCATCACCCGTAAGACATCCGTAACCTAGTCACCTGACCAATGTCGGTAAACCACTTTGAATCGTTTAATTAATTATCCTGCTGTACTGTAATCTAACTTACAACAGCGTCTATTATTGTAACGAACTCATGATTAACTGCCCGGTTGGCTTTTTATATATATTGCTCGACATGAGCAAGTGAGATTTTATACAAAGAATGTAATCTGCGACAATTATCCTGTCCTTGAAATCCTGGCGCACGGGCCAGAAGGACAAAGCTTGACGATCGCACCACTCTAGTGCACTTCACACCGGGTAGAGCAATCACGTAAAGTTATCGATTATACACTTCGCTTCATTGACTGACTACGTTTAAAATTCGTGCCCAATTTATTATGCTTAATTGCGGCCTATTAGCTTGATGATGTTCCTCTGAAAACACGCGCGTTCGCCACATTTGCTTGTAATAAACGTATCTCTACGTATAATACATGCCTTAGTTGACGGACACGTGTGTCCGATTATTTCTGCTTGCCGACATTCAAATTCATGAACGACACCAGTTCCTCAGGAAATATTTTCTATACTAGTGTTTGAGTATATAAAAATAGGCCTCTTTCTTTTCTGTTCTACTTATGATGGATTGCAACATTTTAGCCGCTTTCTCGTACATAACGTTTTACCTAGTATTTAAAAATAGTCCACAGATTTGCTACTTGGTGACGCTCCAAAACCTACAATGAAAGCAGCGCTAAAATACCAGCTTATTCTCGGATTCTGACTATTTTACAAAGACACTTGCCTGTCGTATTCCTGAAGTATTTCCATAACTGCTTGAATTGCAACCCCATATTCATTACACGAGCGAGCCAGTTCAACGTGTCGATCTGCAGGCATTTGACCCACCATTGTGTGATTTGACAGATCCACACCAACTACGACATTGATACTGGTGCTGAAGAATAGTTATGGAATGTATTTTATTTGAAGCATCCATTGTTATGTATGCTCGTCTCTCTGCCTGCATGTGTTAAATTGGTTAAAAAGTGAGCTTCCTCTAAAACGCGAAAATCATATCACGATGTTTGTAATAGACAAAACAAAAAACAGCTACGCAAGGTATACTGCGTATCTGTCAGAAAATCTAACATGAAACAAGAAAACAAAACTGGAAAACATGCTTCCCCGTCGGATAATGTTTTTGGACAACACTTATAGGAATTATGTTGACAGATAAATCACAGTACATTTACTCTTGTGTCTACGCCTCAGACTTTAATACTAACTACACAAAACAGGCCACATGCTATTTTCAAACTAAAGTTCAGTCTGCTGCATGGTTATAACGGGCGCGTTATAATTCACGTGGTTCCCATCTCGAACTTATTTTGACGGTTGCAAGCTTAGTAAACGCATAAAGTTGTCGCACGCACAGGCTAGGCTGTTAAGTTGACTATGAAAACCTTTAGCCGAACAGCATATGCCGACTCCTAGCAAGCATAGAATGCTGTACTCGAAGAAAAGATTAAGCTTTCAGATATGGGTTGATATGTAGGCTTCATGGATAACAGATATCTCACTGAAAAAGGAACCAAACATTTAAGCTGAAAGCAACTTGCTCACGTTTGCCCTGTTGAACGTAGACCTAATAATACATTAATAAAATGATTTGACACCTCGCCTACATGGTACAGTGCATATGCAGCTGAATTGAGCTGTTGCAAAGAGCAACAGAAAATTCACAAGTTTCATGAGCAATTGTAGCAACGGCAGATTACTGGGAAAATGGAATTTGCTGCTTGATAACATAATAACTCCTTTTACACAAGTACATACTGTCGTTTTATTGAGCTTAGTTTACTAACGATAAACCGTTCCTTGAACATTCTAATGAAATCTATTGTAATCTTGAAAAACTAGTTGACAAGTTTGAGATGATGTGGACAGATAATCTCCACTACATGGTATCGATAAGTTTGCTGCATATTCATAGATTATGTGACAGTTCACTGATCTTAAAGCATATATAATGAAGATGGATATGGCTAGTGGCTAGTGTTAATTACATTATGTATTAGAAATAGTACGTAGCGAACAAGCTTGCTTTCAGTCGATCATCATCAGGCTAGTACAACCACAATTATGAGGGTCAAAAATGAACACGTGAATTACAGGCGACAATAAATCAAATATCTCATCAATAAGGTTATGTGATTAGCCCGACCTGTGTGGAGTCGAGGGCTAATCATATAGACTTATTGATGTGATATTTGATTTATTGACATCTGTACTTCACGTGTTCATTTTAGACATACGTATTTGTGGTTGTACTAACCTGATGATGATTGACTGAAAACAAACTTGTTCGCTATGTCGCATTTCTAATGTTTTCTCGGGGTATTATTTCACAAATATCATTTATATTTTACTTACAATGGACGAGACGTTAGTAAAGTTGTAATAATTATCCTGAATCAAAACAGCTAGAAAGCACAGGAGATATCAGAAGAATGCCATATTTGTGCTTCATATAATTCTCTAACTTTATTATAACCTAATTTATGGGACAATAACGTCGGCTAACATCCGGTCGGTTATATGATAATGTTTGAAAATTGTACGAAGAACATGGGTTTAAAGGTACGATGATAGAAATGGAAGCGAATAAGCTGACGGATATTTCAACCTGATTTTGACTAGACAGTGGCAACTGAAAAGTTGACTAACGAGCCAACAACTAGTAAAAACCTGCACAGATTTTGGAAAATATCCTACGTAACCAATTTGGCTTTCCACAACTACACTGATATCAATGCCAGTACAGTGCTCAAAATATTACAAAAACATAGAAATTAGCAATATACTTGTGAAGAATATCAGTTTTCTAAAAATGACCTTAATGTTTGTTCGCTTACACCTTACAGTATAACGGTTACTGCGACTACTTTAAACTCACCCTCCAAAAATATAATCCAGGAAGGAGTATTTTGACTGAGCGAAGAATAAACGAACATTGAGCTGGTAAAGCCAGAATGGGAAAGTAAATCATACATTAGGATCTTTTGGAAAAGCTCTTGAAAGTTACGGATAATGTTATTATTAACCGAGGAAGCTTTTCTAGAATGAATAACGATTGCTTAATATGATCAAAAAAGCCCATGCTAGGCACGTCCTATAAGATTTCAGGGAATAGCATCAAAAAGGATACTTCAAATAGAGACGCGAATTTCGCTGGAATCACTGTTTCGTTTATTTAAATGCAGAGGGAATTGTTGCAGTCCCTTTTTCGGTGAACACAAATAGGTACCCATCTGGATTAGGTGGCCTCATCGATGGGTGGTTACATGCTACATCACGCTAGATAAATAGGTTGGTGCCGCTTTACTGTGTTTTGAATGTCAATTTTGTAATAAAGGAATTTTCTCAATTTGAGTCAAAATTACAAGGTCGGATAGGCAAGAAGAGTGAATTGGAGTGCATCGCGCCGTGTCCAAATTTATGCAGTATGCTCCATGCTCTCGCCAAATCTTGCTTGGATTAATGATGACTCGGAAAGCCACCCTAAAATACTCTCGTGAACCACGATATCGATTGATGCACAGTCCCATTTATTTAACTGTTTTCTGGCATTTCTGAGCATAGTTATCTGGGTAAAATCAGTTTAGCGAATCTGTCCTTCCAACAGCCCCCCGCATATATGGGCGAGGTGTATACACGTAAGGCTACACATAAGCATTGAAAGCCGAAACTTCCTTTAGTTAAGCATTCAAAGGACAGGACCAATGTGATTAATATTGATGGGTAGTCAAGGTAAAGAGGACTGGATCAAATAGGTTTACATGGGGAACGTTCAAGTAGTGAACAACCTATCACTTTAGAGAAGTGGTTAGGATAGAGAAGTGATCAACTGTTGTGGTTATGCTATAGATCACGAAATGATGGAACGGGGTTGTCACGCGAATAGCTTCCGTAAGATTCCATCTTGTTCGTTCTGAAATCTTGCCACCCCAGATTACTGGGAGCAGTAGTGTGTTTCCTGAGTGATCACTCATGGTCAATCAAATTAAAAACATTTATCAACATGTGGTCCCGGAACGCCTACGCAATTAGTTGTCAACTGCTTTTCGGATGTTTTTGCATCCTTTCGCGCTGCACGAAACTGAGTCCATAGTATTTTTATTCGTAAGCGTTATCGGAAACTATTTGATGCAATTACCGAACGCTTGCTCAGTATCTTCATGCGACACACTGACATGTGCAATCAGCAAAGCATTCAGAAATGAAACTGCGCAACCACGTTAAAACTCATCGTGTAATTATTTGGTGGAATAAAAGTAACGAACGCGTACAGACAGCAGCCTCAGTCGGCTCATCGCACCAGCCCATGCTTTGTAGCCGAGTTTCATTAGTCACCCGATTTACATGGCCAAACTTCTGCGGGGAATGCAATTCTAACACCCAAATAGTTTGGTTACTTTGGAGACGTTTTTCTTTTTCTTGGTGCCAAACACGTGCAAACTCCCAATCGTGCTTATTGTCATTTAGTTGAATTGAGGCAAAATATATACTACACATGAGGGAGAATCGTTTTGACCTAAAGATTCATCTGGCTTTATTATGAGATCTCATGCAACGTTATTAAAAGGAATAGTTGGTACTTTTACTGGGGCCCAATGTAATGAGGAGACAAGAATGGTTCATCACAAAGGTTTCCTTCCATGGCACAATTTAACAGATTACACTGGACCCAAAAACACGCTGCACATTAGCGGTGGCTGTCTGCAGACATCTGTCCGGCCTAAACCATGTGGAAGGAATTCAGTACAAACCAACGAGTTTTGGGTGATTCATAGGGCATTTTTTGTTTGGCGGTTAAGCTCTTTCAGAGTAACTGCTTCAGCAAATAGACCGAGTAGATTCGATATAATTCTTTCATTGAACATAAATTTGACTCTTGTTTCCTGTAGGGTAGCACAATTTCCAGGACGACCCTCATTTAATAGTATTGGCTGATCTGCATTTATAGAAGCAAATGTTGGTAGCGCAGGTTGTTTAGTTGATTGGCTGATTGTTCGCTGAGCTCGGCAGGTTGACTGCAAACCTTTCGTCACCACTCGAGGTGACATCGTCAGTGCGAGTGTATTTAGCAGTGTGGCGCGTACGAAGCGTCGGTGAGTGTGAGTGTGAGTGTGTGAGTTTGGATTGTTCGACGAGCACATGACCATAGAAATCGATCTCTGATTCTCACCTCGTAGTGTACGCGTGTGGGACTCTTCGCTTGCCGTCGTTTAATGCAGTAGTCTAGCGCCCTTTTCCGTTAGATTTCTTCTAGTAATTCGGTGATCTTTCATTCGTAATGCCGTATATATAGCATCTATTTCAACATGTCGGTTTATTGAACTGTCGGTAGAATACCATGCCTCCAAGAATTCTCTAGCTTGCCTCGAATTTCCACGGGCTAGGATCTTAACGTTCTCTAGATCGAAGTGGTGGCCTTCCTGGTCTTCATGCATGGAAACTAATGAATGCGGGTCGTATCTCCGTATGGCCATTCTGTGTTCGTTGATCAGTGTTGAGAGTTTCCTTCCAGTTTGTCAGATGTAGTGTTTGTCACACTCTTTGCAGTTAATTTTGTAGATGACCTCATTCTGACTGCCTTGTTTAACTTTGTCCTTCGGTCTTGAAAGCAATCTTCGCAGAGTACCTGTTGGTTTGTGGGCTGCATTTACGGTGAGTTACAGAGTACAGTTAGCTGTGCCCATGAAACTTCTGCTTCTTAACACAATTTTCTTGGATCCCGTAGACGAAACTTGAAAATTCAATTCGCTCTAGTTTCTGGTGCCGAAGTTGTGCAACAAATGTTTATGCCAGTCAATTAAAAGGGTTTCGGCACCTATTCGGGTGTCGACAAGGCCGCTAGTGCAGTCAAGCGTTTGGTGATGATGATCAACAGCAGTACATCAGCCATTTGAACTAATGCTTCGCTACCATACAACTATGAGGACCTATGAAATAAAGAATAAGAAGAGTGAGAGAAGGAGGACTTACCTGAAAACCTTAATGCCCTAAGCAAACATTCTGGGTCAAGACGCCTACACCTTGTGTAGACAACATACAGTCACAAACAGCTGGCTATCGTGTAAAGATAAGACGGCATCGGCGAGAAAGCTTCCTTGCGGCTTTCACTGCCCCGCGTCATAATCAGCCATTATCCCGCAGATAACTCAGCACCAAACACAGTTTAAACAGGCAGTCCAATTAGAAGACGGCAGCAGACGCGCCACTGGTGTCTACTGCGAGCCGTGTCCTGCAAAGTCTCCAGCCAAGCAAAAGGCAAGTCAGGTGAACTCCAACCCGGTAGGTGAGACGGACCAACGGCACCCAATTTGGTCGTCAGTGACTTCATTTCTCACAGCGAAGTCAACTTCTGTCCACCTCGACCCTTGCGCTATCCTACACCTGGTAGACTGGGAGGTGTCTTCTAGATTCCAACTGGTTCACGGACCTCTCGGATATCCGGTGACTAGTGCGGTGACGATGGATAGTGCCACAAGCAGATGCTCCTGCGTCCTGCATGGCAGCCGAGATTCTATTCCACTGAAGTTCAGTACCATTAGGACAAGACAGCGGAAGTTCGGTATACAGTGCTTCTTGATAGGCTTACCTGACCGAAGGCTGGGACAATTTCTCCGTTGCCAATCGTAGGAGACGTTTTGTGCTCCTTCCGGCAAAGTTCATGGAGAAACGACAGAGAACCAAGGCATGATCAGGGTCGACACAGGTACTCAAGTACAAGCGGCAATCCAGAATGGAACCACGCCACCTGTAACTTATGGCTATGTGGTCAATTTGGGTCCATCGCTGGCCAGCTACAGGTGGACGCCAAGTGGCACTTTTGAGTCCACTGTGTCTAAAAGCAGTGCTAGTAAGAAACAACTGGTGCTCCGCACACAGTTGCAGCAGACGCTCACCGTTGTCAGTCCGTTCGGAGTTAAGTCCATAATTATCACCCAGCTGAGCTTCTGTAGAGCTCAGACGCCCTACTTGTGCGTTCATATCCCCTGCAAATACTATAATATCTGAACTAGTAGCACTGCGTAGTAGCGCGCTCAGTTCATGATAGAAAGTGTCCTTGACTGCATTAGAACTGCAGTCGGTGGGAGCATAAGCGGAAATCACGAACAAACAACGTTTTGTTTTACATCGCGAATTCACCTTAGCTGATGTCGTCAAACGGCCTGCACATAAACGGATGTTCACCGGAATCCAATCAACCAGCGATGACTCAGCCTTGGAGCTGAGAATGATACCTACACCAGCTTGACGCGTGAGTGCCGCATCGGCGTCTCCGGATGCATGCAACCAATAACGAGAGGATAAGCCGGGTGCAGTCAATTCAATAACCCCGTTAGGGTCATTAATCCGAGTTTCGGACACACAACACACATCAACATCCAGTGTGTCCAAGGTGCGTGCGAGTGCAGCCTGCTGACCTGTTTTTCTTAGAGTGCGGACGTTGAATGTCGCCATGGGAACGGGACAGCGTGGCCTTATAAGGGACTTTTGCCGATAGGTGTACGATAGGTGCTGTGGGATGGTGGCTGCAGATGGTTCTACTCCAGTATCACTTTGGTTGCTGTCAATTAAGCTGGGAATTATAGAAGGAAGGGTAGTAATGGGGGCCGGGATGGGAGTAAGAGAAACAGGTGGAAAATAAAGAAGGGAGGCGTCAGCAGTAGCATGTTTTCGCTTATCCGCCCTGCTGTATGCAGCAGATAAGGCGACCCTTGGTAATCAGCGCGACGGCCGATGCAGGATGAAGTTTATGTTTGAAGAAAATGTCATGGTTGTATGTGGGCTGAGGTACTGCCAGGGCGCCCAGACCTAGGCAGGAGGACGATTAGGGTCCTCATCCAAAGTCTTTGGCACAAAAGCCTGTCCGCAAGGCAGCTGGGTGGCAGTGATTTAGCTTTACAGAAATGGGCGCCATCCCATTTCAAACCCCCAACCTGGAGGAC